AAACAAAATCAGAGGATACATTTATATGTATTTACAAGAAAATAGTTAATTTTGTTACTCTCTTCCTCATTGATCTTTACTTTTTCTCCCAACTTTGGAATAAGTAACTTCATCTTTTTTCAATCTTATTTGAACTAAAAATTTGAAACGGAGGATATAGGATTCTCCATGAAGTATCTAAAAGGAGGCCTACCTTGAATTTTGTACTTCATACAAAATGGGAGCCAAAGCTTAAGCAAATTTGGATGCTTCCACAATAAGTGAAAGGTTAGAGGGGAGGAGACATCGTTGGATACATAGCTAGCGCTTGTCAGCTGCATGATCAACATCCAACAAAGAGAGAACAATGTTTAATATATAATTGCACTAAAAAAATCTTGCTTAATAATATATTATTTATAGGACTGCAGCAATTTTCAACTGAGTTGTTTAGAACAAAGGAGTTCTTTCAATCAATAAGTAATTCTGTAGAGATTTTTGCACTGGAAAGGCAGAAACCATGCTTCAACTAGATTGTGTTTCATCAAAGAATGAAAAAAAAAAAAAAAACAAATAAATGAAAAATTGCTAAATTGCCAGCAATATACTTGTAATGCAATCTTTTTCATGGAATTCTACTAAAGTAAAAGGAATTATACAAAGTCTTCAGAAAACCCAAAGTGTGAAGAAACCTAAATCCAATGATTCAACACAATAACTTGTGGTTTAGTAATTCAATAGTTAAAATTGATTGAAAATTAAAATATAAATCAGAGATGAAAGCTCTTTTATAGAAAAGTGATAATAAGATATACTTAACAGTTAATAAGAACGGAATATAGTAGGTCACGTACATGAAGAAATTAATAGTTGAAGTTTCAGCTTCTCTTGAGCTATCCAAATTTGATGTATTCTGCATCGTATCTTCGAGGAAAAAAATCTAGAAATTGCTTGAAATAAATGATCGGTGAATAATCAAAGGGGCGAAAAAAGAAAAAAATTGAAAAATGGTATATGAAACATTTTATTGAAGTTTTGGATGGTGCTAATTCCTACAATGTGAGGAATGAGAAAGGGTAAATGGTATTTAAAGTTACCTATAAGTAATTGATTTAATTGGTTAAGACTTATCTTTCTCGACGAATAGGTATTGGGTTCGAGTTCTGTCGATGATCACTTGTTGAGGTCATCTCGAATGAATGACTTGTAGCCATTTATATTAAACTATTAGATACGATACATCTTACCTTAACCTTAGAGACTGAACAACCTATTTATTTCGGATTATTCCTAAAAAAACATGGTATTTAAGGTTGATGAGACATAAGAAAGGATAATTACATCTGACATGGAGCCACTTATCTTAGACTATTAGATATGACACATTTTTTTTTTTATCTGAGAGACTAAATAACCTATTCATTTCAAATTTTTCTTTAAAAAAAATGATATTTAAAGTTGATAAGGCATAAGAAAGGAAAATTACATCTTACATGGCTAGTCATACTTACTTAGCATTGTCCAAATGGTAGAATTTTAGAAACAAGAGATGATGTGTCAGCTGAGGGTTGATGTGGTTGTGTCCACATGTCATAATTCTAGATAATAAGGGATAAAAATTATATATATGTTATATTTTTAAACTGTTATACATAGTATATAATAAAATAACTAACTCATGTTAATAAATTCTTAATAAAAAAAATAAGAGATTGATTTCATAAATAACCCTTAAACTATAATAAAATATTCAATACAATATCTGAATTTTTAAAATTTTTAATATGATATCTGAACTATAAATATATTAATTAATGTGAAATTTATTTGTAATATAACTAATTTTAAATAATAACACGTGATTGATAAATAACTCTAAAACTCATATTAATTAATAAATTCATAATTCATATACCACATAACAAGTTTTTAAAATTCATATATCACGTTAAATGTTTCATTATAATTTAAGCGCATTCATAACATTAACAAAAAAATAAATTCAAAATAATAAATGAAAAGCTCATAAATAATGGTTAAAATTTTATTTATTTATTTTTTTACTTATTTGAAAATGTGATAAAAAGAAGAAATTCATATACATATAGAAAAAAGCCATTTCTTTTTTTTATTATTATTTTTGCTAATGTACTTTAGAATTGTTTCAAAAAAAGATTGATCCCAAACAAAATCTGAAAAATACCCCAACCTATTAAAAAAACAATCTTAATAGCTAAATTTACTATTGATCTAATAATACAAATGAACTCTAAGTTTATAAGTACTATGTTTATACAAAATATAAAAGTTATCCTAATCTCTCCAAATCTCAATTTAATGCCACATTAATAATTAAACACCAACCAAATTAAAAATGCAACAAATTTATACAAAATATAAAAGAATCGGTGAGAATGGAAGGATGGAAGTTTGTTTGAGTTTCTAATTCTACAAACACCAACCAAATTAAAAATACAACAAATTTATTAGAAAGCAACCATATTAAAAAAAAAAAAATCATAATCTAAAACTTATAAAAAAAAATAAAAATTAAGAAAAATATCCGAAAGTTTTTAAAAAATTACAAAACTAAATACCGCCATTAAATAAAAAAATACAAATGAAATTCTTTAAAAAAAAAACCAAATCCTCACATAAAAATACAACCAATAAATTCTTCAAAAATAAAAAATCAATAGTTTCAAAATCATAAACTACAAGCAAAAGTGTTAAAAAAAAATCAAACCCAAAAAAAGTAAGTGAGGATGATAGAAAAGGAAAAAACTTTTTTTTTTATCAAAACAACCCTTTGGTCTCAAAACATTGTTTATTTATTTATTTTGTAGATATCACTAAAAAGAAGAGATTTGATAGTAAAATGAAGGAATTTCAAATGAAAAGGAAATAAAGGAATGGAATAAAGAGGGAAAAAGAGTAGAAAAAAAGAAACGGTGAAAGAAAGGAAGAAAGGAATGAACAAGAACCCTGCTATTGACGAAGGTTGGATTGAATGATGAAGATGGAGGTTGGTGAGGTGAAAAAAGAAGAATGGGAGACATAACAAATAACTAACATTTCAGTATTCATTTGCTTCCAATAACAGTAGTATTAGTGGTTTCTTCAATTAACATTCAAGCAACAAGAATGAGAAGCAAGCAACAAGATAATTCGGTAATCAAACTCAAATTTCAACGCTACACAATACAACAATCAAAAACTATAGACAACATTGAGCACCCCTTTTTCTGTCTATATGATTGTCTCTTTCTGCTTCGTCAATTGCGTTTATATAGGGATTCAAGCTCTTTTAATTTGAAAATAATCAATTGAATCGAATCAAATATATATATATATTTTTTGTGATTTGATCTTTTCATATTTGACTTCCTGTGACTTTCCTTTTTCATTAAGATTGAGATTCAAAAAATTTCAAAGTTATTCAATTATTCAATTCAAAATCGAATCTAAATCCCAAACAATTCCTCAATTCCAAAATTCACTTTTTTTCCTTTTCAGTTTCCTGACTCTTCTTTTTTTGGACTTTTGGCTTTTGACCAAAATTAAAAATAAAATTACAATTAAAATTAAAATTCAAAATAAACTTGAAATCAAAATTTAAATTTAAATTTAAATCAAAGTCCACATTAAAATTAAAATTGTGGGCTTTTATCCTTTTGAGTTAAAAGTTTTTCAAGGTCTAATTTATAGTCGAAAGTCCATTTTAATTTCGTAAATTTTTTTCGTACGAAATGATGTGTCTATGATTATAATTATTATTATAATATTATTTAATTTAAAATATTTTAAAAAAATGTAAACCCATGCTAAGCTAAGGTAATTTCTAGTTCATATAAAAGAACCCGCAATTACTTGATTTCATGATAAAAAATATAATTACTTTATTGCACTTCGTAGAGCTCCTCCATGAGATTGGCATCAAAATTCAACAAAATTATATTTTAAATATTAAAACATATATTATTATTAGATCATCTAAACTAATAAGAGAAGGAAAATTTGAAAGCAAGAAAGAAATATAAGTCATAAATTTTCATTGGGTTTATGTTTTAATTGGATTATCTACAATGGAGATTTAATTAGTATTTTTTTTTGTTATATCAGGAGCGTAAAATTTTAGTATAAGTAAGGGAGAGAGGAAAGACCTGATTCGAAACTAGACCTTTGATGTCCTTTTAGACGCCTTTAGTGCTTTACTAAATGAAAAAATGCACATATCATTTTTCTTTTTATTTGATACACAAAATTTTATTCTTGTATTTTTCACAATATATATTAATGTAAAAATGCATATTTCACTTTATTTTTATTTTTTTCAAATTTGTTCTAAATTCATTTATCGGTATAGGTTAAAATTTAGATGAAATTTCTCATGTGCGTATATTTTAAGTGCGCAATGTATAAACTTCATTCAAATTCTATCAAGGCATTAATGGATGGATGAGTTTAAAATAAGTTAAAAATCATAATGAAAATTTTGGATTTTTAGGCATCCATTTAATCCATGTTGAGTGCATAAGTAGAGTTCTTTAAGTCAATATCATGTAGGTTTCATTCTCAAAGAGAAAAGAAAAAGAAATCATTACCTTTCTTTAAAAAGAAATTACCATTTTTTTTTTTGTTTGTGCTTTCAATTTTGTTGACTTTTAGAAAAATAAAAAAATAAAATATTTTGTTAATGAAAATGTTAAATTTTCGTCATGTTATATTTAAAAATTAATAAATTAAAAATACAATGATAAAATTCACTAAAATTAAATAAAATCATAAAATTGAATATTGTCTTATAGTACAGTAAAAAAATTATTCTTTATTCCAATTAATTTCGGGTTAATTTCAATGTACATTTTAAACTTAAAAAATGAAATTGTTGACATAAAAAATCATTACTAAAAAAAGAAAAAGGTAAGGTTAAACGAGCCAACTCATCTACCAAACAATTCCCTATTTGAATGGCCAACCAAAGGCACCAACATCTATATCTCTAGAGTCCCACCTAACAACCCACCAAACCAAACTCAATGAAAATCACTTCTTCCCTTTCCTTCTTTTCCAACATTTATTAGTTCAACTAAGCTTCTGCTTATATGAGATTGAAACAGTGGACTGTCTCCTGGTTAGTTGGTTTGCCCACAGAATTTATTTCTTTTCATCCCACCTAAATATCATAATTTATGTATTTATTTTATATAAAATATTAAAAATTTATGTATTTTTATTTTATTTTGTATAAAAATTATGTATTATAATTTATATTGATAAAAAAATGAAATATTTTTTTATATCGATAATTTTATTTATATTTTTATTAAAATTTTAAATTTTATCATTTTCTATATTTTTTATTCCTATCTTTTTATTGGTGGTAACGTATTTTATATTGCCAAATCAAATCCCAGTTTTTTTTTTTTTTCATCTGCCTCTCTCTCTCTTTGACATCCTTTGTTTTTTACTTATTTATTTATATATATCTTGGCTCTTGTTTAACAGCTTTAGTACTAACTTGAGATAGACAGAGAGAGAGAGGTGGAGGTTAAGCTGAAAACAAGGAAGGTAAAGCAAAATGGGTGGTGATGGAAAGGTGTTAACTTTGGCTCAAGTCTCTGTGCACAATACCCCCAAAGACTGCTGGCTCGTCATAAATGGCAAGGTCATCATTTTATTTTATTTTTGTGTTATTCTGATGGCTTGATATGTTTGTTTAATGTCCAAGTTAAGGACTTTGCACTTTTTGGTATGTTGGGTACTTTCAAGCTTGCATTTTTTAATGTTTTATTTGTTAGTTTTTGATTGATCTATTGGACCCATTTATTAAAAATTGGAGTTTTTGAATATGGTTGAACTGGTTTGTATGTTGGAATTTATGTTCTAGCAGTTGCTGTCTTTTGGTGTCTCTTTTTGTTCTTTTTTGGATTTTAATCTCCTGATACATGTGGGATTTAAATTGCTTTCATTGTGATTGAACTAAGCTGTTCTGGTTAAATCTGTTAACCAGCTTGAATCATTGATTTGCTTGTTTGAAGTAACATGTGTTTTTGAGATTCAAATCAGATCCTTACTCTCATGCAGGGGGTCACATTATTGTGTTTAGTGAGTTATGGCAGTGACCATTTTGAGAAATTTTAGAATACCAAGGATTTGGATTCAAGGTTTATCAGTGTCCTGCATATGGGACATCAGGACTCAAAAACGTTTTGGAAGCCAACTAAGAAGAGCTGTCAAACTTTGAACCTCTATGTATCACACTTAGATCTGAAGGTGCAAGTATTTACACCATTTTTGGTTTAGCTTTTTCAAAATATGCCAAACATTAAAACCAGAGCTCGGGTTTAAGATTAAGAGGCTGATACTTAGAGAATGAAGCCTTAGTTGGATACAGATTGCCTTAGGATTTTTGAGGTATTTCAATGACTTGATGATTTAGTTTAGGATTCATAAAGACAGTGGCAGATTCAGGATTATTTTCGGGGGTGTCCGTTTATAATATATATAAAAAAACAATGTATTCTATTTATATTGAAGTTAAATGTCTAAAATCAAATGTGATTACTTTTCCAGTCCTAGTGCGTTAATTACGAAAGATTGCAACTCCAAAAGAAGCCTAAATTGTTACTACAAGCCTAAATTATTCCTTGATTTTTGTTTATATTTGTGAAAATTTGGACTTTCTCACAATCTGTGAACTGCCTCTAACACAACTTTCTGATTGAACCAACACCTAGCTTGACACCATTCTTTTACTGCTTGAGTTAATGCCATGGAAGTCTGATGAAATAATTGTTATACATGTGGCTTCTGAAGAACCAAAGAATATACAAATTGAAGTACTCTCTTTTGTTTCTGATTAGCTTCATATCTTAACATAATAATATAAATAGCATAAAAAGCAGAATCAAGGTTAATTGAAGCTTATTATTTGACCAAAGAAAAAAAAAGCAGTAAGAAATCAACAATCATATTCATGCTAAATGTTAAGTGCTCTAATTGCGAGAGAAAATCATAAAAATTTAGTGTAAACACAAAAGTCTGTGGTGGTGATTTTGCTTTTATGGTGGTTCTCTGTTGTGGATGTGGGTTGCTCCATGATCTCTTTAATGGCTTCGTTACCGTATGCAAACATAAAGCTCTTTCCCATATTTGCTTGTATGTCAGTAAAAACTCAAGCAGGGTTTTAGCATTCTTAAAAGAAAACAAGACCTGCAATCGAAGATAAATTTAATCATAACTGACAAACTTCCGCTCTTGTGTCTTTCTGAACATTAGCATCATAATTTGTCACTGACAGATTGCACATAATATTATCGAACGTTTTGAAGAGCACAATTTCTATGTATTATGTAATTTTTACTTCATTTTGGTGCCTGTCTCATTCTTGAAAAAGGTTTATGATGTGACAAAATTTTTGGAAGACCACCCTGGTGGTGATGAAGTGTTATTATCAGCAACAGGTACAAACTTTGAGTCTATTTTTATCAGACCTTCATTTTAGTTTTCTTTCTGCTTCTGAATCATGTAAACTGTAAAGAGCTTGACATGGTTTTAATATGTATATTTTGCAGGGAAGGATGCCACTGATGATTTTCAGGATGTCGGCCATAGCAAGAGTGCCAGAGACATGATGGATCAATACTATGTTGGAGAGATTGATGTCTCAACTATCCCAAAGAAGACCAAATATAAACCCCCAAAACAGCCTCACTACAATCAGGACAAGACATCTGAGTTCATCATCAAGCTCCTTCAGTTCTTAGTTCCCATTGCCATCTTGGGTTTGGCTGTCGGTATCCGCCTCTACGCCAAATCATCTTGAGGGTCTAGATTGTGTTTTGATGACTGAAAACTCGTGTTTCATTTATGCTAATCATTAAAGGCTGTTTGTCCTCTCCCTATGTTGTTGTTCCTGCAACTAATAGTGTAATGGAATCTATGCTTGCTGCCTTTCCTCAGGTAACTGATATAATTCAAAACGTTTTATTTTATTGAATGCAGAACCTTTAATCTGGTTGCATAATCATAAGAACCATGATGTTTGACACCTGCATTATTGTTACCCTGATTTTGAAGATGAGATTTGGAGGCTAGACAGTAAGATGTTTTTTGTATGACCTGTTGATCTTGATGATTTATTCCTTCTTAAGGATCAATATGATCCTGGCCTGTTTGCAAATTTAGGAACATATAGATTATAGAGGGTTTAGTTTCATTGCCAGTGTAGATAGAAACTCGAGATTTAACTTAGTTGATTCATACATGACATCGAGGTGGCATCCAGACCTAGAATTCAAAATTTTGAATCAGCAACTCTTAGTTTCCTTTTGTCCTTGCATTAGAATTATTTGACAGCTATGCATGAAGAAAGTTGATACTGGATCTAGGAAGAGGGAAGTCCAGAGCCCACTTGGCAGTTGTTTTGGGGCCCATGGCATGTTAGACTCAATCTGTTGGACCAATATAAAGGACCACAGCCACCAATCACAACCCATGGGCTATGCATGACTTTGCTTAGCTCCAATTTAATCTATCAGATAGTTAGGACTATTATTCTATATGGTAAGAGTTTTTTAACTCTACAAATGGCCATTTTTACTTGTCTATTTATTTATTATATAATTTTTTTTTAAATATATACCTTAAACAAACATGTGTTAACTTTATAAATTTGTTTGAGAAATTAAAATACTCTTATCAATAATTTTACTTATTATTATTTTCAAGTGTTCATTTATTATCATTTTAAATATACAATTTTAAATGAATATGTGTCAATATTATAAATTTATTTGTGAAGTTAAAAAAAAAAAACTCATTTTGGATAATAATCCAATTATAAATGCTAATTACATGCATAAAGACAATGAAATGGGGATGGGATGTTTCAAATTGAAACTAATAATCCAGTTATAAATGCCAAGTGCATAGAGAGACAATGCAATGGATTTGTCTTTTTTGTGGGATTTGTTGATTAACAGAGGTCTTTTACTTGAGGTGGTCCTCAAGAGGATGGGGACCCAAAGATTCCAGAACCAAGAATATGCTGAAGAAAGGCTTAATGCTTTTGTTCCCTATTGATCTAAGTATCTAAAACTTGAAAGGCAGATTCCATAAGAACAGAAAAATCAAAGTAAACCAGCCTCGAATTTGGGACTTTGGGTTCATTTAGCAGCAATTAGAGGAATTCTCACTACGTGACGGTTGCATTTGAGTTTAATCACAAAAAAAAATTTAACTATAAAACAATATCATGAGATAAGAGTTTCATTTGAGTTTATAGATAGCAACGGGTCGAGACAAATTTTTTTTACTCTGAATTTGATCTGATTTTATATCTATAATATTCGTATTCGATTCAATTTTATTTTTTAAAATTATTTTATACTCAAATCTGATTTGATTCGATATTATATAAAATTATATTTTATTTGATTCAAAATTTATAAAATATTATTTTTAATATAAATATATAATTAAATAATTAATTAAAATAATTTTTTATAAATATATATATGATTAAATCGAGATCAGATTTATTCGACCTCAAAATTTTTTTTTATTATTATCTAATTTGACCCAATTTGAAATTCAATCTAAAACAAAAAAAAAATCCTAAGCAATCGAAACGGGTTAAGACCCATTAGTTGCAGGTGAGTTTGTCATCCATATTTAAGTTTAGTCACAAAAAAAATTTAATCATAAAACAATATTACGATATAAGAATTTTAAGAACATTTTACTACTTCCATTTTCTTCTTTAAAAAAAAAAAATTCATTGTTTTTATATTTTGTTTACTTTGATGGAAAGTAGTGAAATTAAACATGTTCAAATCACTTTGAGGCTGTCTACAGACGCATGTTTCACATCACTTTCAGACATTTGCCCACTTTCCCAGGATTTTGAGGTTTTTTACTCTCTGAAAAACTGTTTTCACACGTTGTTGTTGTGGTACGAAAAAATTCAATTTGAAAAAAATATATTTAAAAAATATGTAAAGAGTTATTGAAAAAAATTATGATTTAAGATTTTTAGAAGTTTGACATTATTATAAAAATTTGTTATGAAAAATTAAAACATTTAAAAAGGACATGATATTGGAAAGAAAAAATAAATTATTTTTTCAAAAATAAATAATAAAATAAGTATTTAATTATTTTATCTTTAAATTATAAATCTAAACAGTAATTATATCTCTCAATTAATTTTTACGATTGATTCATTTTAAGCAATCAAAAAGTGAATTAAAATCAAATTTATCATTATATTATGATTTAATATTATATTTTGTTCATGTATTTTAATTTCATCAAATTTTATCATTATATTTTTAATTTTGTCGATTGCTAAACAAAAATAACATAATTAGAATATTTCATTAATGTAAGTAATAAATTTTTGTTCATTTTATTATTTTATATCTAAACAATAAAATTAAAAATAACAATAAAATTCAATATCCACTTATAATATAATAATAAAATTAAAATTGCCTTAATTAAAAAAATATTTTTTTCTTTTTTATTGATACATATCATTTAAGAAGAATCTTGTGGCTGCAAAAAATATAATCATCCATCAAACTGATCACTAAAATAAAATATTTAGTAATTGGGATCAAAATTAATCCAATTTTCTTTGATCATCTTTTCAATAGCTAAACATATTTCATTATGTCTTAGATTTAAAGTATATTGCAAAATATATAATTTAAAAATTTTAAAATGCTTGATATTATTGTAAAAAATGTTATGATGAATTTAAATATTTTAAAAATATGTATAAAATAATAAAAATTTAAAAATATGAGATAATAAAATAATTTTAGCCACAAAAATTACAGTTGAACCATAAAAGCATCTATTTAAAAACTTTTTTTTTATTTGGGTTTGAATGCAAAATTTTTAAACTAAAAATCCATTTTTTTTATTGTTTAGGATTAAAATTGGACAATAACAACTTTTGAACGATAAACTAGTTTCAATCTCAATGCTAAATTAGGTCTAAATATGAGATAGAAAAATGAATTACAAATATTAAATTTATTAAATATTATTTTTTAAAATAAGTTTTAACTATTTTTTTCTATTCTCTTTTCTCCTTCAAAACTTTTTTTTTATTGACGGGGGCAAGGCTTAACCTAAGGTATCCATAAACATCCAAAAACAATAAAATTTGAAGGAAAATTTTACTTTAAACATCCTTAAAATTTTTTCCTGATATTGTCAAAAAAATGAAAAATAAAAAAATTTAAAGTAAAATTTTACTTAAACACTTCAAAAAATTTTTTTAAACACACTTTTAATTTATAAAATCAATAAATTTATCGAAGTTTTTTATATATTATAAATGAACTCATCAATACCTTTTAATCCAAATGATTAAGAAATTCAATTTTTTAAAATAATATTTTGATTTTAATTTTATGAATAAAAAAAATGAACATCTAAAAAAGTTACTTCTCTTGAAAGATTCAAACCAATTTAATTTTGAAATGATTATTAGACATAAAAAAAAAAAAGGATACAAAAAAAAATTTGATCACCCCACTGTTTTTTTCTTTTGGTTCCGACGGTGGACAGGGTTCAGAGAGATCGCATTAATGTCTGTAGAAAGTTTTAGATGTCGTAATAGTGTAGAAAGTTTTATCTTTGAGGACCACTTTTTTGTGTGAAAATGGCAGTCAGTGTTCGAATGACACATGCAACGTTTGGGGGCAGAGCTTTCAAGAAAGCTACTTTCATTTCCTTGTAAGCTTTGAGAGACATAGATGAGTTTTTTTGGGTATTGTTTACAGTTACCAGTTTCATACAAATGTCCAAAAAGCATTAAAAACAAATGACTCAACCCAATCCTCCACCAACAACACTAAAGATCCAGAATCCTTCACAAATTTAGGTCACCTTGTCTCTCCCTCTTCAACCACAAGCGTCACCAATTCCCCACCACAGTTTTATTATAATTTATTATAAGATTTAAAATGAAAAAAAAAATAGAGTACATTTAGTAATTCAAAACACATCGTGATAGCATGAAAATAGTATGAAAAAATATATAAAAATAATACGATTTAAAATTTTAATAAAAATAAAAAAATAATTTATATTTTTTTTATATGATATATAATTTTTATGTAAAATACGATACGAATAATTAATATTTTATATGATATAAATATATGAATTTTACTATGTTAATTGAAGTACCAATTGTACACTTGTTTGCAGTAACTTTGGGGTGTTTGCTTTCTTCTCAAAATGTGAACTCAGAGAATTTTGGATACATTGATACAATCCCACCCACATGTGGAAGGTAGTTTTCCTTGTAATGGTCTTCCCAGTGGTAAAACAATCAATCAATGCCCCAGTAGAAAGTTCTAATAAAAACCCATCCTTTTTTTTGAAAACAATGAAGAAAGTTTATGATTGGAAATTGAAGCATTCCTCAGTTTCATCCAATGGTACTTTGGGCAACAACACCCACCTCCACTACAACCACCAGCACCATCATTTTTCAATCAAAACATCTATCATTAATGGGGTTGAACAAGATTCCATTTGATAACATGAGAAGAGGAAATACTTGCAACTTTAGACTGAAACGGGTGGTTTCATATTTTGCTTAATCAGACAACTAGGGAATCTAGCATTCCAAATGCAACCTGGCTGTGAAAATTCTCTAGCAGAGAAGAAGAAAAGAAATAATGGAAACTCTCTACCAACTTATATTACATGTCTTATCAACACCATAGGCAAAAAAAAGTGAGGTTTCTAAGTTTGTTCTTTCATTACCCATAACAGAAGAAGATGATAGTTTGCCCACGATCACGTAATTTGTTAATAAAACACTCAACTCTTAATTTCAATGACTAAAATTCAAAGTCCATTTTCTAGAGTTCAAACAATCCCTGAAATTATTTATGGTTACCAGGTGCATTCTGCAAAGCCAATCGAACGCACCTTTTACCAAAAACATAGCAAATAAGAAAAGATTAATCCGTACCCCTTTGAATCATGTAATCCTTATCATCCATTTAAGCTTCCTTTAAGCCTGTATAAATTGACAATTATCGGACAGAACAAGTTGCAGAAGATAAAGTGCAGTGTGGACATGATAGATAGAGAAGACAAGATTCTTTCAATTCATTACCACCAAGAAAAGCTTACCCCACCCACCACTACCTGAAAAAAAACACCATCTTTTAGATGAGGTTAAAAGGAAGCTGTCGATCATGACTCAATGAAACAATATATCATTTCAGATCATAGTGATGGGCCGCCTTATCATCATCATCATCTTGAAGTTCATGGAATGATCAAAGTTCCATTGTCTCACATGGAGATAAAGAAAAGGCCAAAATTTAACTGTGAGAATCACTAAAAAAATATGATAGAGGAAAAGACAAAACATAAGAGGATGAAAGAGATCATGTTTATTTCAAAGTTCCATCAGTACAAGTATAGACAAACAAAGGGAGGAAAATACAGTGCAAAAGAAAAAAAAAAGGAAAATAAATTCTGTACCAGATCAAGATCAATTGACCTAATTGACTGACCTTAAAGTCCCTAAAACTCTAACCTACACCCTCATTCCCTTCCCTTCTCAGATGATCTGTTAGACAAAGGACTTTGATTTGTAGTATTTTTTTTGTGTAACTCGTTACCTCTGTTATGTTACAGGCCATTAGTCTACACATTTTTTTTAACGGTCCTACTTTTTTTACAAGTTATGTAAGGTTGATGGAAAATGGAAATAACACCATCATCCTTACAACTAAAGACTAATTCCTGCTACCTTAAAAACCTAAATTTAAGATCAACTGAGATATTAGGCAGGAAAATAAGTCCTGATGGAACACTAATGGTGTCTAGGGGTCCACTTTCTCCCATTGATATCGTCCTGGGAGTGGCTTATCTTTCACTGGATCAAAGTTATATCTGCAAATAAGAACATATCTTTTATCAGATCATAAACGCAGAAGTAGCAAAGAGTTGTGCAAAATTTTCATAACAATCATAAAAGTGAGAAGTAGGGTGAAATATATATAGTATACTTCTCAATGAATTGTCTTCGCTGCTCTTCTTCTACAACAGCGAAGAACTCATCAATTTCATGAGCCGTTGGGATGTGTCGACGCGTTGAATTCACTACTCTCTGGTTAGTCTCTGCTGAGCTGGTAGGCCTAGTAGTAGAACCAGGGGTTCTGATACTCTCTGGGTCCCTTATCAAGCTGCAAGGAGTTGATTCCCTAGTGCCCCTGCACAAAAATAGTTATTAGTTAATGAAAAGTAACAGAATCTAAAGGCAAACACTCAATTCTAGAAAGCCAGTAAAAAAATTAACTTTCTTTTTTTCTGCTTTACATCTACCCCCCAAACAACATCGCATGGAGAAGCAGGCCACACTAATCATTTGAAGAATAACAACTGAAAATGTTAAAGCATAAGGGTTCCTCGGTGTACGATAAAAAAGAAGAGACTCTTTTTATCAACGTTCAAGCAAAAAGGTTCTGCAGTTCACGGGAAATAAATGAAAGATTTTCCCCTGTTTTCGTTTTGTTTTGGATCCCGCTTCCACTTTGACATGCTTCACTCACCAATATTTCAGCAGAAAAGACTTCACAAATACATTGAGTTCAATATACACATTAAAATCACAAAAACCTGTTCTACAATTATTTCTGCAAGGACAAATTGAGCTGAAAGAGACTTTTTTTTTTTTGGATGGAAAGGGGTTGGGTTACAACTAAAACCAGATAAATTTTATCATAGTTATTTTGCTTATTCAAGCAAATAGTAAGAGAAAAAAAAAAAGAAAAACAAAATCAGACAATATCAAGCAAAGAGTAATAAAGTATACAAACAAATAAACAAAGACAGGTTTTCAGATTATCAGAATCTCCTGAAGATCAGATTATCATCCATTAACTAAATAACTCTTGTCAGAATATCCTATGCTCAAAGCATGGATATGTAAAGCAAATTAGATCCGTGTCTTCCAAAGAGATAAGCTCAATCATCAGATTAATCCCCAAGAAAAAGAAAACAAACACAAATGCTTTTGTAAATTTTTATCTTGAAAATGTCACAGCATCCACCATGCGGAAAAAAACAAAATATTTTGTTTCTTTCCATTAGAATAATATAGCAGCATAGATGCCTAAAAGTACCCAAACAAAAGAACCTAAAATTAGAATATATTTTATTCATATGACCACATAATTAGACAAACCCAAGTTTTAAAAGCATAAGTAACCAAATTTAAAGGAAAAAAAAGCAAGAGGCAAAAATCAATTTATTAACAAAACAAAAGAATTTATGAATGACAAGGGAAGGCTAGTAATGACATGGTTTTGGGTTTTATTTCAAAAAACAATGGTTTCTGTCATAATACAGCTGCTTGCTTCCACCAAAACCAAAAGATTAAAATTCAAAAGTAACCAAACTGTAAGAATCAATAATAGCTAACTTTTGCTTGTGACACAATAAAGGACACCAGCCGAATGATATGATTTCTCTGAAGGGAAGACTCCAGAAACAGAAGCAGATAATATTGCAACATTCCAAACCGAAAACAAACACTCCTTCTCAGCAATTGATTCACGAGAATCTTATATCATATATATAATTTTCAAACTTTCCTACCACAAAAGCACAGCAAAAACTAAGAAAAAGAAAACTAAAATTAGAACCCGAAGCTAAAATGTGATTTTCTTATTCAACAAAGTTCAATCAGCCTCCTCGTAAAACTCTATTTCAAGGGGGGAGTAATCCTTTCTTTCAACCAAATAGGAAACTTAGAAACCATCAATTACCAGATTGTTTAGAGCACAATCCCAACAGGAAAAAAGGGTGTTTTTTCCTTTTTAATCTTTTTCAATAAAAATACAAGAAAAATATGTCCAAATATTAAAAATCTTCCTTAAAATACAGAACTCAAGAACACAGTTGACGAAAAAGTTTCTACTTTTCTTAGAAATTTTAAGTCTTTTTTCATATAAAAGTTTTGTATCATTTTCCAACTAAAACACCAAATAACCATAATAATTTTTCCTTAAAAAGAGACCAAAAAACCAACCTTTCTCGAGCCTCAATGTCCAAAACATTTTCTCCAAAGGAAGCTTCAATGCCACCAAAATCCTTGCTCTCATTACTATTGTTAATATTACTATACTTAATAATATTATCATTTCCATTATCCTCTTGCACCATTTCTTCTCTTCCAACTTCACCTTCCTTTTTCTCTTCCGTGGCAGAATCCGACCTGCTACCCACCCGAACCCGAGAATTCGAATTAGGGTTAGGGATTTGCCCACTGCTCTCCTTCTTACTCACCTGTTGCTGCTGCTGCTTCTGCCTCTTCGAATCATGGTGGTGCACAACAACCGGCGGCTTCTCTAACCGCCGACTACGCAGCTGGAGATAAGACCCGTCTCCGTTAGCCGGAGTCGAAGCCGCCGTAGCCGGAGAAGTCGACGATTTCTGTAGCCGTTGAAGCGCGAGGGTTTTGGCTCGGGTTCGAACTCCAAGGGAAGACTGCGAGACTTCCATCACAGCAACTTCCCCTGCCGTTTCGGCCTTCCTAATGTACTTTCCCATTTGGGTTTGAAATCTTAAGGGTTTTGGGTTTTGGAAGAAAGAAAGCTTAAGCTCTCGTGAGAGAGAGACAAAGACAGGGAAACGAGAGGAAGCGAAAGGAAACGAAAAAAAAAAAGGAAAATTTGGGTTTAGCAGTTGTTTGTTAAAGAAAGAAAGAGAGAGAAAAAGAGAAGGAAAAAATAAAAGGTAGGGTTGGGGAAGGATGGGAAGATTTTCAGGTGGGCTAGGATTAATTACTGCTTCACTGTACTTCCAATTTCTCTTCTCATATATCTCGTGATATTTTACATTTTATTCCAATTTCCCATACTATTTATAAATTTTTTCCCAAGATTATTAGTACTCAAATCTTTCAAAAGTTTATTGAGAAATTATTTAATATATTTTCAGATAAGTTCTTTAATTTTGTAAATAAAATTAATATGATGATATATATCTTATTTTATCAATAAGTAATTGGTTCAATCAGTTAATATTTATTTTTTTCGATAAAAAGATTTTAGATTCGAATCTTACCGGTGGTCACTTGTTTTGGTCATCTTGAATACATAACTTGCAACCACTTGTTTTAGATTGTCATATACGACACATATTATCCTGACCTAAAGGATTAAACAATTTATCTATCTTCAATTTTTCTTTAAAAAATATATATCTTATTTTTAATTAATTATTTTATTTTTAAAATATATCATACGATACATGTATTATTTATCAATTCTATTTATAAAATTTAAAAATTATATTATTAATATATATAATAATTTCTCTTAATTTATATAATATTTATGTTAATTAAATTTTTAAAAATTACAAGAGATGAGTTAAATAAATAGGTTTGGAGTAAGGATAAGTAAAAAATTTTAAGAAAATCTCTATTATGCCAATTAATTATATATTTAATTTACAAAAATGTAACAATTTATAAAATTTATCAAGTGGGCATATATGTAAATCTTCCTTTTTTCTTTTCACAAAAAATTTACAAAATAACAACAATTTAAAATTACAATGCTTTTAAAAGATTATTAGATAAATCTTTTGACTAATTAATTATACATGGAATAAATTAAAATGTGCTAATTTATTAAAAATTATCAAATAAGCATATACACAATTTTTTCCATAAAAAATTGTTTTTTTTTTTAAGAAATCCGCAAGAATTTGAATTTACTTTGTACATATGAAAAAAGAAATTAAATTTTCTTTCTATTTATTTATATCATTGTATTTCAACCACAAAATTTTGAAATAAAATAATGAAAACATTTTCAAATTTTTAACTAGCAATATAATTGTTACAAACTAAAAGTACTTAAAGATTACTTAAACTAATATGAGCAATTCAATCTTATAGAAGCTTAAAGGTTTATAATACTTCAATAAATGATATTATGTCCAAAAAATTTTAAATGAAAACAAAAAAAATTTCTTGATAATGAATTTACAATTTTTTTAAAAAAATTTATTAAATTTATTAAATGAATCTTACTTTCTTTTAGTTAGTTATATATGGAATAAATCAAAATGTGTCAATTTATTAACAATTATCATGTCAACATGTATGTAAGGTTTTTTTTTTTTTTTTTTTTTCATTTGCAACATTTTGAACTTACTTTCCATATATGAAAAATTAATTCAAATCCTATTTCCATTTATATCATTGTATTTCAACCAAATAATCTTGAATCACACATTTAAAAATCGGAAATCAAATACTATATTTGTTTAGTTCAAATAAGCACGTAATCTTCGTTGACTTAGTGATCAAGAAAGTTTAAGAAGATATATAAGATTAGAGTTCGAATTTTATCATCCTCATCTCTTATTTCCTATGCAATAAAATATATATAAATATAAACACATGAATAATAATTTTTAAATATATCTTCATCATTTAATTTATTATTTGTAACTTGATTTTTTGTGAAAACTATTTTATTCAGTGATTAATTATAAATTAGATTCAAGAATAAAATATACAAATAATCACTCAATTTTTAAAGTCTTTTTAAAATGTTTACTTAAATATATAATCTTTTTAATTTAGTCACTTAAATTTAAATAAATATTTTTTTGTCACTTTGTTAGTAGTTACCCATGTGCTAGTATGGTATTGTCACATTAATTGTTAGGTTTAACATGGCATTCCATATCATCTAATAAATTACGTGATATTGTGATATTACTGATGTGATATTATAAATTAAAAAAATTAAAATTTGACTAATTAACTTTTTAAAAATTTTTATTTTTGTCATTGAACTTTGAAAATTTATAACTTAAACACTAACAAATAAGCCATTAATTTTTATAGAAAAAAAATCAACATTTGATATTTTATTACATTAAATTATATTATAAATTTTTTAGTTTATTGTAATTATATCATTTAAATTTTAAAAATAACTAAATATTATCTAATTGTCAAAAATACTAAAATAACATTAATTTAAATTTATATGATTCAATCTATCTAAATAAATTGCAGTAAGTATTTCACATTTCACTATATTAAGTTCTAATTACAAATATGAAATACTTACTTAAGTTTATTTGGATGAACTAAATGACAAAGATTTAAAGTAACATTATTTTCATAAATTTTGTAAGTGAATAATATTATTTCATTTTTCAAATTTAAATGGTATAATTACAATTAAAATAAAAATTTTATAATTTAATTCTATGCAATAAAAATATCAAATTTTTATTTTTATCTTTTATAAAATTTGAAAACTTATATGTTAGTCAATAAATTATAAATTTTTAAAATTGAATGAATAAAATAGAAATTTTTTAAAAATTTAAGTAACAATAATTTTTTTTATAATGACACGGTAGTAATGTTATATGACTTGTCAGATGATGTGATAATACCACATAACACTTAATAACTAATGTGATATTGTCATATTAATACGTCATTAGTTATTAACGATCAAATGATAAAAAAATACTTACTCAAAGTTAAATAATTAAATTAAACAATTAATCCTTAAATGATTATTTTAAAATATCCTTAAAATGGTGTCAATTGGGTCTAGCCTAGCTTGACACTCGACCCATTGACACCTTTGCTCAACGGTTGTATTCTCCCATCCTCTCTTTATACATAAAAAGAGGTTATAGTTTAAAATACAAAAAATAATCATAAATATTGAAATTTAAACCTTATTAATAAAGGTGATTAAATAATCAATTAAATTACGTCCTAAATTTAAAGAAAACTAATGGACCTCCCCGTTAAGGTTAACATTTTTAACTTAACATTAATTTATACCAACAAAATAAGGATACTAAAACTTTATAAAGAACTCCAACCTTTACATAGCTTAAAGGTACTAAAGTTAATTGTTAGTACTTCACTAATTGTATTAAATCCACCCAAAATTTTAGATTAAAAAACAATTAAAAAAATTTCCACCACTTCATTTACCAAAAAATAGTTACAAATATAGTAAAGTTTTAGAAGAAAAAAATCGTAATATACGAAGTATAACTTATAAGTTAATACTGGTATGGTATGTTGATAGAATATTAGAATTTTTCGTATTGTTATATCAAATATGATATTAATTTCAATTATTAAAATTTAATCTATCATAGTTTCAAATATAAAAAAATAATTTATATACTAATAAGGGAAAAAAAAAAAAGAGAACAAGGCTGTTTTTATAAAAAAAATAAATAAGAAAACAAAGCTAGGGACCTAACATTTTTCACTCTAAGTATAATTGTTATCTTGTGCCCAATCTCTCCCCCTAAAAATGGGTTTTTAATTGAAGTATAATTCGGTGTTTTATTTGTGTCATTTAAAATAATAATAATTTATATATTTATATTATATTTTATATAAAAATTATATATCAATTCGTGTCAATATAAAAATATAATTTTTTATTAAATTTTTATATAATTTTTGTTAAAATTTTAAATTGTATTAGTTTTATATCTTTTTTCATATCATTTTTATATTATATTATTTTATTATATTTTAAATTATTAGATCTACTTATATTTTATATATTTTTTGTTAGTTCGGGTGTATAACACATTCATTCAACTTAAAAATAGCTCAAGAAACCATGATTGATTTTATTTTTTAATTAAAAGTTTTGAAGTGACGATGGTTAAAATTTTAATAGCGTTATCATTGATTTTTTTTGTTTTAATTATAATTAAAAAATGTAATTAATATAACTATTTAATAGGTACAAGTCAATAGCATAAATTTGTTTATGAAAGTTTAAAAGTTTTATTGTTAACATACGGTGTAATTCTTTTTTAAAAAGACTCAACTGAAGTTATTTACGTGAAATTCATTAAATTTGTTATTTAAAAAAAATAAATAAAAAATTTAAATTAATAAATTAAAAGATTTTGTTATATATATTAAGTGTATAAATTTTGAAAAAAAATTAATAAGTTTTGATATATTTTTTAAATAAATATTTATATTAAAATTTAAATAAAATTTTACTGTTAAATAACTACTTGTCAAACTTTAATAAATTTCTACATACTATTGATTTTTTCTATTAAATTCTATTAAATTCTTAATTTAAGTTTTTATTAAAATTTTTATTTAATCATTATTAATGAAAAATTTTAACATAATAATAAATAATAACGATTTACACGTCTTAATTTACACGACTTAGGTAAAATCTCATTATCTCACGAGATGAGTGAAGGACAACATTGGATACCTCCTTTAAGTGGCCACGTGGAAAGTGCATTTTGATTTTGATTTTTCTCATATATCTATTCCACATTTTTTCATAAAAAAAGGAATTAAGATAAGACCAAACAAACCCACGACCACAAGAGGCGCGTGAGCCACGCGCATATTCGACATTTTTCTAAAATTGGCCTTTTTTTTTTTTTTGGTAAGTTGAGAAAGATGACAGGTATCAGTTGGGGCATGGAAAGCGTATGAGTTGTGCCAAAAGAAGGGCCTTTTGTCCCTTAATTTTTAAACCCATCTCTTTTCTATTTTTTAAATTTCTTTTTTTTTTTTCTTGTTTGCCTGAGTTGAATTGACAATGGTGGCATTTAGTCTATCAATTTTGGAAATTTATCAAAATTTGCAGTGGAAACAACAGCTTCTTAACAAAAAAAAAAAAAAGAAAAGGATCTTTATAAATTTTTTTAGGTAAAATTATATTCTTTTATA